AAAAAAAAAAAAAAAAAAAAAAAAAAAAAAAAAAAAAAAAAAAAAAAAAAAAAAAAAAAAAAAAAAAAAAAAAAAGTAAACCGCTTAAATTCAAATGTGAAGGGGTGTAACTGAATTTCAGTTATTGTGTGTGTAATGGAGGAGGAGCCTACAAAAACCACTCCTTCTCCATCATTCTACTCTTTTACTTCAAATTCTCTTCCCATTATGGATTCTCCTTCCCGTTCTCTGTTTCCCTTCAACGTTTTCCCCCCTCCCTCTCCCTCCCATTCTTCCCTTCCGGCCCCCAATTCCCGCCGGAAGCGGACTAAGTTCATCAAACCCACCGCCGCCGCCGCCGTCCCTCTTCATTCTCCCTCCACTCCCAAGTCCAAGCACGCCAAGAAACCGGACCCGACCGCTCCCAAGATCACTCGCCCCTGTACTGAGTGCGGTAAGACGTTCTGGTCCTGGAAGGCTCTGTTCGGCCACATGCGCTGCCATCCTGAGCGTCAATGGCGAGGAATCAATCCGCCGCCTAATTTTCGGCGATCGACTGCCACTGACGAAGATCACGAAATCGCTGCCTGTTTGATTATGTTAGCGAATGGCCCTAATGCGATCGATCCAACTGAAGCGGTTACTGAAACGGACGATGATTGTCGAGAAAATCAAGAATCGACGGCGGCGGCGGCGGCGGCGTTAGTGTTTGGACAGAGAGGCAGCCGGAAGAACGTGAAAGAAGAAGAAGATGATGATGATCATGGTTATTTGGACTTGAATTTGCCTCCTCCAATGGAAGACATTGAAGAACATTCATCATCCTATTGTTCAGGGATTGTTTTGGATCTGAGATTAGGGCCTAATTAAACTCTGATTTTGGAAATTTCCCAGAAAATTACAAACTTTGTTGTAAATGTTTTAACTCAATTACCAAATCTCAAATACAAAACTAAATTTGTTGTTCAATACTCGTACATTTATATACACAATTCATCAATAAATTTCATACCCATTACTTTATTCCTATTTTTAATCATTTATATATATTAATTTTCTCGGCCAACATAGTTCATATTATTGTCGTGATGTAGTACCATAAGCAACGTTTTAACTATAACAAAAGGTATCTGAAATATACCGATTACTCAAAAAAAGAAGTGAACTATAAATTTATGTAGCGTTACAGTGATTAGAATAGATGATATTAATCAATCGGGCAAAGTTGAATGGATGCAAACTTCAATCGTTATAGGCATTAATATGTTATAATAGAGACTTCATGCAAATGGAAATAGAAATACTGTACTCTCACTTGAAAACTATGGTTTTTTTTTTTTATTATTATCTGACCATATAATCTTCCTCTCAAACAAAGAATTGTTTGTTGATAGACTAAAGTTGTCCAAGTGATTCATCTATGCTATGGACGGGATTAAAAAAAAGGTTGAAAGCTTCCATTCGAAGTAAGGTATGAAGCTTCGATCGGTCAAAGATATAAGCTCAGATTCAATATAAATTGTTGAGTCAGAAAAGTCGAATGAATAAGGAGTATTGATTTTTGACAGTGAACTGATAAAATTCGGGGGAAAGATGGAACCGACGAGCTTTTTAAGCCCCAAAACTCAGAGGCATAGTACCAGTTCCATCTCTAATCTTTAAGAGGGCGTAACTTGTTGAAGCATGATACATGCAAAGAACATACAACCACAGTTTTGAAAAAAAAAAAAATTCCAAGGCAAATTAGCTTGTTACCAATATTGATAAGTCTTTGGTTGCGTGTTTGTTATGTGTTCTGAATAATTACAGATGAAACTAGAAAAGTAGGCGGCTATGCTAGTTGGTGCTTCTTTGTCGGCTATGATCAGCGGATGCCGAGGGGCGGGCACAACAGCTACATAGACCCCTTCCTTTATGATGTTTCGACTTACTAGTTGATGCATCTTTGTCAGCTCTGATCAGTTGAGGTCGAGGGAGCAAGTGCAATAGCTACATGGACGCCTTCCTTTCTTTTATTGCGCTCCAAGAAATGAGATCCCGACCGAGAAGAAAAACCCGACTCTACATCAAATCAAATACATGTCCATTTGAATAGCCATTGTACTAGATGCTGAGAAGAGCATCTAGAACTTGCAAATAATCAATCTTCATTACACTGTGCAATTGTTCAACCATTAAATAAATCTCATCAGCTCTTGGATTGAACTCATCTCCAGCAACAAATCTCAAACTCAGTGAATTAATATGCACCAAACTATATCCAGCAATAACCTTGACTCCTCTCTCTTTAGCCAACCTCCTCATCTTCGCAGAATCACTCATTAGCCCGCAGTTCGCATACAAGTTCGACGCAAGCATGTAGCCAGTCGAGTTCAACGGTTCGAGTTCAAGAACACGAGAGGCCGCTCCTGAGCCAAGCACAATGTTTCCATAGCTCCTACAAGAGCTCAATAGTGTCCCCCAAATGCTGGCCCCTGCTTCCATTTCTTCAGGCATCTTCTCAATCAACTCTAATGCGTCTTTGAATTTCCCCGCTCGGGCTAACATGTCGACGACGCATGAGTAATGCTCCAAACCAGGTGTAATTTTGTGTTTCTTCGCCATGGATGTGAAAAAAGAGAACCCTTCTTCCACTAGTCCTCCATGGCTACAAGCAGACAGCACTGACAGGGCGGTCACAGCATTCGGCTTCATGTCGTTTTGTTTCATCTTTTCGAACAAAATTAACGCTTCGTGCGCGAGACCGTTGATGCCGAAGGCAGATATCATAGCGCTCCAACAGACGACATTCTTTTCTGGGATTTGGTTGAAGGCTCTAATGGAGGCTGCTATATCTCCACATTTTGAATACATGTCAATAATGGCAGTCCCAACAGCTACTTCACTAGCCAAACATCTTCTAACAGCTATACCGTGAGCCCATTTCAATTGTCTCGATTCAGCAGAGACAGCACAAGCCTCCATAAGATTCATAATCGATACCTTGTTCGGTTTCACCTCTTCATTCATTCGCTTGAAGATCGATATCGCTTTGTCGGGATCGCCATTGTAGGCAAAGCCTGCAATCATGGTGCTCCAAGTAACTACATCTTTTTTCTTCATTCCATCAAAAAGTATGCCTGCAAGCTCAATCAGATTGCATTTCGCATAAGCATCAATCACAGAGTTCATCACCAATTCATTCGATTCATATCCCCGCCGTATAATCGCGCTGTGTACAGACCTGCATTGTAACGAATCCAGAAACTGTTTAACTATCTGAAGAACATTCACAAAAGTCACCTCATCTTTCTCAACTCCTTCTTCCACCATTGTCCTAAGCAACGCCGCAGCTTCCAAAGGCTTCTCGTTGAGAGCATACGCCGACAACATCGAATTCCACGAGACGATATTCTTCTCAGGCATCGCCTTGAAAGCTTTAAATGAAGAATGAACCTTAGAACATTTGGAATACATGTCTATCAAAGAGTTCCCAACAAATAAATCATCTTCCAAGCCCCTACAAACCACCAATCCATGCACCATTGTTCCAAGTGAAATATCTCTCAAGTTGGTGCAAGCTTTTAGAACACTTACAATGGTTACCCCATCAGGTGAAATGCCAGCCACTGTCACCATATCTCGAAACATCAGCAGCCCATGTTCATCTTCCCCAATTTGCACAAAACCTCCTGTCATCACACTCCAGGAAACAATATCATTTCTCACAGACATTTCATCAAACAGTTTGTGGGCAAGAAACAAATCAACTTCAGTATATAAGCTCAACAGAGAGTTTTGAACCGAAAGAATGGCAGAGAAACCAGAGCGAATTATATAACCATGAGCCGCAAAGCCTTCACTATATGATTTACGCTCACGAAATGCATGAATTACAAGTACCAACGAAGCAACATTGGGCTGAAAATTGGCGAATCTGGCCATTTTAAACCACCACAAGCCTGCCACTACGCCCCCATTTGAGAAATTCCCATGAACCATCACGTTCCAAGACACCGAATCCTTGTTCTTCAGAGAAACAAAAGCGCGGTGTGCGGAATCCAAATCACCCCATTTCATATACAAGTCAATAGTGGAATTAGCAACGGAAGTGGAAGATTGGCATCCTTGTTTGATCAGACATCCGTGCATAGCAGTTCCAAGTTTGAAAGAAACGTTGGAACATGCTTTGAGAATCGAAGGGAGCACCGAAGAGTCTGGCAATTGAGATCCAGAGAGTCTGATTTCACGGTAAAGTTGGAGAGCTTCTTGCCATTTTCTGGAAGATGATGCTTCTTTGATGGTTGAAATCGAATTGGAGAGCCTCAAACCAGAGTGGATATTTGAGAAGCGCATTAGTGGATGCGTTTTCTAGTGAAGTTTGACGAGCAAATATGGCCGTTCCTCAGACGCTATATCCATCATTCTTCCTTCTACTCAACCGCGACGAAGATGCAGTAGAGGTTCGTCCAATTTTAATGCCGTTTTTCTTCATTTTCTATGGGGAATCGATCGATAGTTTCAAATTTTCTGAAATTGATCTGGTTTTACTTGTTCAGGCTCACGAAGCTGCTGGCATGGTGGGAATGTGGCGATATTTTGGGCGGATGAAATGGGATGGTCGGCGGGACGTGGGTGGCTTGCTCGAGAAATGGCGGAGTTGCATTCATCACAAACTTCGTTTCTTGAAGGTAAGATGGATTTGGGTATCACTAGTTTCATAAAAACTACTTAGAAGTATCATTGTTGTGCAGTGTTATAGCGATAATTGAAACCTGAAATTGTTAAAAGAGGCACTAAACTGGCATTTGAATCCTTCGAAGGGTCTGATTTACCTGTTTTGGTCGCTTAAGTCTGCAAACTTGTGCATCCTGAAGTCGTACGAAACTTGGAGAGCTGCTGCAAGCAGACCTTAGAATGGTCTAAACATTGTTCAAGTTGGCCCATGTCAAGGATCTAGATAGGGCTTCAAATCCAACAGTATTCACTCTTAAAAGTGAAAATGAAGATAGAACATGCTAGTTTTGTTTGTGTTTGTGCTGTGTACTGTCAAATAGGTAAAGCTGATTGAATTCTTGATAGGTAGACGAAGATTAAAGATAGAACATGTTTGTTAGCCATGCTTGGGATGTATACTGGTGAATAGGAAAAACGTGTGAAGGAAAGGCTAATGATTGATGCAGATTCAAGTTACAAAACTTGCTTTAAAACAGTGGATATATGTAAGAACAGCGTCATCTTCAAGAACTGTAAACATGGTTGAAACTCATCTCAAATATTCTTAGGCCAACAGAGATGAACCTGCACTGCATTGCTTTACTTTTAATTTTCTACTTATAAAAGCTTCTCTTAGTATTCTTTAGATGTAAACTCATGACCATCTCCTCGAATCCTCCTCTCGAACAAAGCCTATAGAGCTCCTCCCCTAAAGAACAAACTCCCCTTAATCGAATCTCGACTCCCGACTCCTTGTCTCGTAGATTCAAAATAAAATACAACATAAAGCCTCCCCTCCCCTCCCCTGAGACTCAAAATAAAATACACCATAAAGCCTCCCCTCCCCTGAGACATATGCCGCCGATACTCGACTTCTTCTCCAAAGCCCTCGAACAAAGTACACAATTGGTATTGGTTTGACACTCCAGTCACTTTTTACTAGACCACCTTCAGTCTCTCAAAGCTTCATGTTTTAAATTTTGATTTCCCCCAGAGGTCTCATCTGGACTCTTTAAGTTAAGCCGACGTGAGACTCCTATCCCAACCATCCTCGCCTATAGTTTTATTTTTGGTGACAGAAACACCGATCTGGCATTAAAGGAAGGCATTTTCTTAGGTTTTTCTGAGATATCCATGGAGAAACTGAAATGGGTTTGCTCCATTGTTGCATAGGACCGTGAAGAACAGTGAAACGTTGTTGGCTAAGTGGGTGTTGTTGTAAACAGAGATATTCGAAACAGAGCCCAACCTCAGTTTTATTCCATCTATATACTCTCTCTCTCACACACACACAACACCTTACATCACCATTTCACTATACACAAACCAACCTAATACCACACCGGCAAATTACAACAACTCTCAATCTGCACATCGGCAAATTTCACACCGGCAATCCTCCCCGCACCTGCAGCTACCCTTTCCCACTCCCACCACCGCACTCGGACAAGTACAGGGGTCGCACCCACAGTGCTCCCCGCACGGGCACTTCCTATGCGCCACCTCTCCCCCCGCCGTCGCCGTTGCACACTTACAAGCGTTGCCACCGGGACAGGGAACGGCGCAACCACATCTCTGGTTGCAAGCTCTGATTCCACCGCGTTCGCCGCCACCAGGTTCTGCCATTGTTATCTCCTCTTCTTCCCTTTACTCTGTTGGATTAGTTTTAATTTATATAATTTCGAACCCTTTATTCCTTTCTGCTTCTTTTGCCAAATGACGGTTGAGTTCTGCTTCCGGGTTACACGTGGCAATGCACGTGGCTACCTCCCTCGCCATGTCTGCATTAAGTGGAAGAAGATCATCCTTTGTCGGTTTGTTTTGTTATGTTGAAGATCATGATGATGGTATCTATGAATCTATGAATATATTTTTTCTTTTTTAAATAATTGTTTCTTGAACTCTAGGGAACTTGAGGCATTAAAATTGAAGCCTCAATTATAAGAACTACAATTTTATGTTCAACCATCTCTCTAAGGAATTTTATGTGAGTGAGGATAAATGTGACATTCCACTTTGATGGGGAAGAGAACAAACTGTCATTTATAAAGGTGTGGAAACCTTCCTCTAATAGACGCGTTTTAAAGTCTAGAGAGAAAGCTCGAAAGGGAAAGATCAAAGAGGACAATATCTGCTAGCGGTGGATCTAGGCCATTACAAATGGTATCAAAGCCATGCTAGCGGTGGATCTAGGCCATTACAAATGGTATCAAAGCCAGACACTGGACGATGTGTCAGCCTTCTTGTTGTTCTCCGAAGGAGGGTGAATTTGGGGGCGGTCCTACCAGCCAGAAGGTTGGGCCCGAAAGAGGGTGGATTGTGATGTCCCACATTGGTTAGGGAGGAGAACAAACCACCATTTATAAGGGTGTAGAAATCTTCCTCTAGTAGACGCGTTTTAAAGCCCGAAAGGAAAAGCTCGATCTGGGCCATTACCATAAAACATGTATGTAGGGGAATGTCGGGACCATTAAATATTGAATTACGACTTAAATCTTAGATATAGGGGATTAAAGGAGAATGGGGAGACCATCAAATGCCAAATCCAGACGGGAGAGGAAATATGGGTTGGTGCTGAAAAAGTAGTATTTTTTTATTCGACCAAAATAAAAAATTGAAGAAAAAAACACGTGGCAGTTTTTTGTCTGTTTGTGGATTGAATAGCAAGGAACAGCCTTTTTGTTTGAATGTTTGCATACGGAATTGATTGCATGTGAGGGGTGGGAATATGTCCCATCCAAGTTCCAACTCAGAGATCGAGACACCCTTTTTGTTATTGGGCCCCCACCAGTAAGTGGGCCGCTACTGCCTCCCCTGGCCCATTTAATTTATACTCGGTTGACTAAGTCAAAATACTATTTATTCTCTAACCCTTGCAAATTTATGTATTTCTGTCCGGTCGCCTAATAAAGTGAAACTGGCCCCCATTCCTTCAAACAAATATAATATAATACTTTGCACTTTAGTCCTAAAAGTCTTCGAATTAACATTTTAGTCACTCAATACTGAATTTTGAAAATATGGAAAGTGGTGGGGGTGAAAGTGAGAATATTTAATAATAGGAGCGATGAAATTGGGTCCCATCATGAGCTGTTTGATCACAAATTATGTGGGCCCCTCTCCTTTGGGACTTGTTGTTTGTCCCAAGAAAATATATATAAATTTTAGGTTAAATTAAAATAATAATGAGAAAAATTAAGCTTATTAAAAAGATTTAATACAATTTTTTGTTTCAAAATTCACAGAAATAAATAATAAATTCTAAAAAAATCATATTCAAATATTAATAAATAAATTAATGAAAAGTTTAAAATTTTATATATTAATATATACCATAGAAACTGTAATAAATTCATCGAACCCCCGGCCCCCCTCCACTTGTCCCTGCAAATCCGTCCACTGCGGCACGGCGGAGCCACCGATCTCTACGGCGGATGCTCAAGCTGAGCTCATCGGCGCCGTCATGTTCTTCTTCAAGTTACAACATAATAACAACGAAACTGATCGGAAATTGAAACTTCCACCACTCAATCCAAAGCATTGGGACCGGCACAGGCCTTCAGAACCGGACTCCATAGCCACTGCAACAAGAACTTCCTTCCATTTCTCCCATTCACATTAAACGTCCTTCCTTCTCCATCTCTCATTACCTGCCCTATATACCCGCCGCCGCCACCGGTGCCGTACAAACCCTCACAGAGGTCCGCAATCTCCGTCGGCGCTGTCGGATCCTCACCGGCATACCAAGCATTCACCAACGGATTCGAAGCGACTTCAGCTAATTCATGGCCTATAACACTAATCATTCCGTCCAACGCAACGTCTCGATTCGGCGGCGAGAGAACGCCGGGACCACCGCCGGCCATGTACGCCGGCACGGCGAAAGGATAGGCGCATTGCTCAGGGCATTGCTTGCCGGAGTGACCAACCCAAGCATAGGGGAGAGTGTAGCCCACCATGGATGGGAAGGTGAAGTAATGGAACCCGCATACTGCTCGACAAAAGTCCTGCATCGTAACATCCTGAGAAGTGAGCACCAGAAACATCCCGTTCCGGTGGTCAACCGGAAACGGCGCGGATCGGACGGCGGTTGCAATAACCTTCTGGATGGAGAGGCGAGTAAGGTCAGTGCCATGGGAGTGGTGGAGGTCGGAATGTTCGCCGGCAATGACGACGGAACGGGAGACATTAGCGCCGGTTTGATCGGTGTAAAGCGAGACGGTTTGCCACCACTCAGCAACCGAAGGAGAAGGCGGAGCGCGGCGGGGATCGGGGGCGGAAATGGAGAGGAGAAAGTCCTTGATTAGGAATTTCTGGGAGACAGACCATTTGCCGTACCAGATAAGGTAAATATTGATGGGGGAAGAGGAAAGAACAGGGCCCATGTGGTAGCGGAGATTGACGAAATCGGAGGAGCCCTCAAATTTCTTAGAGGAGGAGAAGGATTTAGGGGGAAGCTTAGGGTTGAAGAAGTGGGCGTTAGTGTCCAGCGTTCGGAAGGAAGGGAAGGCGGCCATTGAAGAAGAAAGGAAAGTTGCAGAGACGGCGAGGAGGAGGAAGAAGGAGAGAGACGCCATTGTTAGGGTTTGGAGGAAGTGGAGAAGAAGAAGGGGAAGGGGAAAGGTTTTATAAAAGTGAGTGAGTGTGAGAATAGGATGAATGGGAGGGAAATGGGCTGGTGACAGCTAGCAATGCCTTCGTGTTTTATTTTTATTTTTATTTTTTTAATTTAAAAAATAAGTGTGTAACTAAATGTGGGTTTTTTGGTAATTTTGGGTGATGTTCTCAACCAATTATTTAAATGTGGTTTTGAATCTTTTTCTCCCTTTTACATATTTTTTAAAAAATAAATAAAACCAACATAAAACTTTGTAGTCGTACGGTGTCGTATGGATTATTTGGGTCAGGTCATCATTATTTATTTATTTATTTATTTATTTATTTTTGCAACAATGTATAAATAATGAATATTTTTTTTAAAAGAATTATAATACTATAATTAATATTTATTAAGTTTGGAAATTTGAATGATTAAAGTAATAAAAAGGTAATGTGTTTTATTTTATTAGTTATGAAGCGGAAGATAAGCCTATTTTATCTGATATATGCATGACTGTCATGTCAGTCTCATAATTTCACTTTAGTTCGTTATTTATGATTTTATGTATAGTTGTCAGTCTCATAATTTTAAAACTGTTTGGTAAGAAAATATTATTTTCGTCTACTACCCACATGAGATCTCATAAAAAAATCTATTTAAATAGAAAATAAATTAGAAATAAAAAAAAATCATTAGCTAAATTATATAGATATATATATATATTATATTCTTACCATTTATTATAATCATTTTTTAAAATTGAAATTATATTTATATAGAAAAGGTAAATTATCTATTTTTAAAAAATTAATATTTTTTTTATAAAAAATATACAAAAACTGGAGAAAATTTGGAAGATTTGATAGAGATATGAATTGAAATAGAAGAGATGAGGACGAAAAAAGCTTCCTTGTGTCCCGCCTAGTGGACATCTCTACACCCATTAATATAAAGCTACAAACATTACCTTACGTAAAATTTTAAAGTTAACCAATCTAAGAACGTCAATTTTAAAACGTGTGACGGTTGAGGATTATTGGAAGTGTAAGTCTCACTTCGTGGAAGATCATGTATTTTCTCTATTGGTACAAGGTCTTTTAGGGGAGTCCAAAGCAAAGTCACGAAATGTTATGCTCAATGAATCCTACGATCAAAATGTTCGAGAGTTGTTTTGAAAAAATGACGTTTTATTGAAAGAGCACAAATGATGTTTGGAATTCCATTCTAAAACACTTGACAAATAAAATCATAGTACAAACAAGAGACAACAGTACACAGTTCAGCACTTTATTGCCCTCTACCTTGCTTACCTTAGCTACACTTCATCCATTGATATCATCATCAGGAGAGTAGGCGGCTTCTAGTTTAGTTTTCTCAACACTTTAATGGTGTGTTTATAATCATTCCTTAACAGAGAAAATCACCACCAGAGCAGACCATGTCCCAGAAACTCCAAGAACAACCCCCAACACAAGAATTCCAATGTCCACACACCATCCTTTCACATCCATTTCCTGCTTGAACACCAGGAAATGAAACAGAGAAGGCAAAACAAACGCCAATGCACAGCACACAGCGCTTCCAACCAGAGACAAGAAATCAGCAAAATTCGGCACCAAAAGTGCCACCAAACTTACCATGAAAACCAGCATCCATCTTAACCATAGGCTATATCTTCCTCCCCAGAATCGCCTCTCCACGATCTCATAAACAGGGTTCATCATCAATGGCAACGTGAAGAACAGGTTTATACACAAACCCAGTTTAACAATGGTGCTAATTAATCCAGACCCTAAGTTACCAGTGATCATGTCTTTGGTATCTTCGCCAAAGGCGAAATAGCCAAGAGTTCCAAATGCTCCGTATAAAACAGTAATGAACGCCATGGATAACCCCAAGACACTCCCGAATTTCTCCTTGTTCTTTGTCTCGGATTCTAATGGCAACACCATTCCAATCCCTTCAAAGGCATACACAGCCACACCCATTCCGTAAAAGAACACGGAAAAGCCCCCAAATGCCTCAACAGATGGGCTCTGTTTGAAGTAAATCAACACGTCTTTTATCATCACAACCACCATAGCTCCAAGGTCAACAACATCAGCAAAGATGCTCAAAGGAGCCAAATGGGTGAGGGTTGGAATCGAGTTCAAACCCAATTGGAAAGGGAGACACCCCCAAACGTACACAACCTTGGGCGCTAATCCCAAAATCTTAGGACTCAAATCCGTAGCGGTCGGGGAATTATAAACATCAGCCATAGTATTACCAATGAAAATCAAATAGCCAACACAGAATCCAGTTTGAGACAAAATAATAAGCAAATCAACAATAATCCTACCAGGGGAACCGCAAATAGTATAACCTAAATCCCCAAACGAATTGATTTTCGAGAATCCGACAACCGATTCAATTTTCCGACGAGTATAAACAAGGAGCATCATACAATAATAAGTGAAGAACGCAACAGAAAACAGCATTAGAAGGCTCATAACCCACCCAGTGCGTTTGAAGGCGTAAGGAAGCCCAAGAACACCAGCCCCAACAATGGCGATGAAAACATTAGCAAATGTCTTGGGCTGCGAGGACAGAGGGTTGGCGCTGCCGAGAAGAGGCGTATCTTCTTTGACCGCCGGAGATTGAAAGAGACTGGATGAAGAACTGGCTTCTAGATCGGAACCCATTTCGAAAAGCGCGGAGGCGAATGCGATTGAAATGGAATGGGGATTGAAAGATATAGCGGGAAAAGGAATGGAAGAAGGAATCCTGTACAATGCGATGAAAATGAAGGGAAATGGAAGAAGACGAGAAGAAGGGATGGGAAGAATTGAAATGGGAGGAGGGAAAGCGTTGGAGAACGCGCCATGAAACTTTTCCTTGACATTTGGGCCCTTCTTAGATATTTCAATATATATTTTTTTTCTTTTTTTATCATTATTATTTAATTTTTAATTTCATTTGTAATTATTTTATACTAAGATATTTGTAGGAAATAAATCAATTTATATATTTAACCTTTTGAATTGGATTTATTAATTTTTAAATTAATAATTATATCGATTTAAACCTTAAAATTAATTTACTATTTTTACACAAACTTGTGTTAAAAAGTCCTCTAAACTATGACTTTGGTTGGTTGGTTGGTATCTTTAAAAGTAAAATTACTTAAATTATCGAGAATCCGAGAGTCTACGGCTAAAACGTCCAACCTTAAAAATACCAAAAACTAAAAATGGTTGGTCTTCTACTTCAAATATTAGTTAAGTTTTCGTAAAAGTTGGGTCGAGAAAGTTACAACAATATCATACACGAGACTATACGCCTAGAAATAAAATGTCACGTCACCTTAAAAGTAAGGACACACTATAGTTCGAACTAAAGATTTAGAGGAAATATTTTAGTAAATCATTCTCGTCGCCGAAACATGTCTTTGGATTTAGTACTCAGACGATCACCGTCTCCAAAAATGGCATAATCGTAAAATGGGGAGAGAGAGAGAGAGAGGAGAAACACACTACCCTTTACAGAAACTAAACTCAACTTTCAAATATCATCAAATCCAACCAAAAATATCAAACATTAGAAGAAAAAAAAATGAATCTGTGTGTATATGATGAATTTCAACTATTTTTTGCAGCTATAACCTGTTTGGCACCAACAGAGAAGAATTCAGTGATGACTTCAAGTGGCATGCCCTTTGTTTCAGGAACTTTTAGAAAGACGAACACCCATGATATGCTGCAAACAACTGCATACATACCGAAAACGCCTGCTAGCCCGATTGAGTTGAGCAACACGGGTAGCGTATATGTGACAATGATATCGCCAATCCAAAATGTTAGTGCACAAATCGCAATGCATAGGCCACGGACCCGGGTTGGGAAGATTTCTGCGCATAGTATGTTTGGGATTGGCCCGAACCCCATCACGAAGAAACAGAAGTAAACAACTACACTGATGGTCGAGATCGATGCATTTGCTACGCTGCCCATGTGCACTAGGCTGCCGATTACTAGGATGATGAGGGATGATATCAAGGCGGGGATGGTGAACAGTAGTAGAGTCCTGCATGATGAGGGGAAATATATGGTGTGTGAAATGTAGAAAGTCGAAGAATAATGCACAACAAACTCGATGTTGTTTACGAATGTTATGAGGAGTGTGGCACTTCGATCCTCGAGCAATGGCGTTAATCAAAGAAAGAATGTATTACCTACGACCCGAGATGTCCATCAGTCTCATGGCCACAGTGATTGAAGGGAGCATCAACAATGTCGTCAGGGCGCTAATCAGCAAAGATGCAGAAGAAGAGCCAATCCCCAAGTTTGAGAGAAGAACTCCAACGCCTGCTTTCTCAAGAATTTGAGGTGTGTAATACAAAACTCCATTTATGCCAGAGAACTGCAAAGAAAACAAGAAGTTTGAGAGAAAGTTACCAATAAATGAAGCAGAAAGGGAAGGGTTTACCTGCTGAAGTATTTGAATTCCCATGCCAACGAGCAGGGCATGTTTGACTCCGGGTTCGAAAAGGTCGTGCCAAACTGGGCCTTTTGTCGCGGTTTCAGTCGGATGGACCATAGCTGGTCCAACGGGATGTTGATGCATAAGCTCCTTGGAGTAAAGAGCCGGTTGGCTCACCAAAGCAGCAGCTTGAACATAGCCACCATCAGTTGGCGCATAGCCACCAGGAATAGAGACTATGGATCCTCGCTGCGGTTCAGAAACGCCTTCTTGGTACAAATAAACTCGTTTAAAACCCTCTTTCTTCTTTCCATCCGGGCCTTCTTTCTCAGACCATTTCCAAGCAAGCTGCCAACCACCGCCAATCCCCATACTTCCAACAGGATCTCCAGCAAGACTACCCTGTCTCATGCTGGAAAGACTGCCATGAGCGGGTGCGATCATGTCTTTCTCCATGCTCGTTGTTTGTCGTGACATCAGTGGACTCCGTAAGTTATCATCAGAATCACCACCACCAGCATCTGACTGATAATCCTCACCCTCTCTGGCAAGGCTCTCTTCATCCCACTCTTCATTTCTAGGTTGGTTACCTCCAACGCTAAACATGCTGCCGAAATGTGGAAAGAGTGTACTGCGCATGCTTCCTGTATCAGGGAGCTTCTCATGAACACTGCCAAAGAGAGTGACTAGAGGATCCACAAACCCACTCTGATTTATAATGCTTCCATTTCGAGACACTAGCCCAATAGAACTCTGCCCTGTAACCGGCCTAGCAACCCAAGAGAGTCCTTGTTCAGGTCCATATAATTTGATTTCATCTTTGTCGATCGATAGATCTTGGTCAGCAAGATCATCTGCAGGACCAATTATGTATTCCTCAAAAGAGGTATCACCCCCAACTCCAAGACCCTCAACAAGTAAAGCCAGTTCACCTGTTCATCAAAGGTTTGATCAGTAACATATGATGAGGCTAGTTCCCTTGAATCAGCCATTGCCATAAAAGCCAACACCAAGGCAAGACACTAACTGAGTTCCAGAACAATACGTATGAACCAGCCAACTAGAAAATGAAGCAACTATAACGAAGGATAGAAAAAATCATTAAGAACAATATTCTAATGATTTATTAATGTGAAATGGCTGCAACAAAATAAATCTCAGCTCAAACTATGACAGGTTAAGCCATAAATCTGCAACTTAAATATGAATAGTAGCTTGTGATTCTCTTCTATGAACCACCGGTCGAAAACGTTTTAGAAATCGTGTAGTTTTAAATCTAATTATTCGACCTATTCCCGTGATGTCCATAAGTAAACTCTTACAAACTTACAACATTAAGCATGGAACAACAATACCAACAGAAGAACAGTAAATTAGCATCGAACAAGAACTAACCAGATACATCCTCCCTGCCTCGAAGCCTCTGCAGTACGCGTTTGGCCTCGAGCATTCGGCCTTTACTAACAAGCCAACGAGGTGACTCAGGCAAGAAAAATATTGTCAGTACTAAATATATAAGTGAAGGAATAAAGAGAACACCAAGCATTAATCTCCAGCTTGGGGATTCCATTAAAGACATCCCAAAAACCATGCAGTATGAGAAAAACATTCCAGCAGAACCAGTGAACTGAGGAAGTGTGTTTAATGATCCTCTAATTTCAGGGGGAGCAGTCTCAGATATGTACACCGGAACCAGTGTAACAGCCAAACCTATTCCAAAACCATCCAAAAGCCTGCCTAAAAGAAGGATATATACGTTGGGAGACCACAGCATTACAATGCCACTGATGAAGTAAAGAACAGATGATAGAATGAGCAGCAACCGGCGGCCAAGCCAATCTGATATCGCCCCGGAGCATGTCGTGATCACGGTGGCTCCAATAAGGGACGTGGCCACAATCAGCCCTTCTACAGTGGGGCTACTTTCAAGGTTGAATTCCTTTTTAATGTACAGGACGGCCCCTGCAGCAACAATGGATCATACTTAAGATTTTTGACGAACACCATGAAAGCGGGTAATAAAGACACAACTTCGATGATTTTACCACGGAACAAGGATAAATTAACAGAGAAAGAATGAATCTACCTGCGATAGTCGCATTATCCCATCCTTGCAACAAGTTCCCAACAGCAGCAGCAACAGCCACCAAGACAGAACCACTCATTTTGCTTCTTCAAAATCGACAAGAAAATCTCGAAATCAACTACCAAAGAACCTAAAAGAATACAGACCCAGATCAGTAATCAAACCATGGATACAAAATTCAAATTCCTCTTAAACAACCAATATCCCCATTCAGATCACCAGACTCAGAATCTCTCTCAAGATTGAAATTAACAAAAGAACAAAAGTAGATGAACTGTAAAAGGAAAAAAGGAAGGATTAAATGCAAACCCAAGTGTTAAAAATCCAGCAGAAGCAAGAAAACAGAGCAGAGATGAACTACTGAGAATAAACAGTGAAGCTGATGAGAGTTTCAAGGACCATCAGCCGCAGAGACAGCCATGAAATGCTCTGTTTTCAAATGACAGCAAAAACCTAGTTAATACCCAAGAGACAAGATCATTAAATAAGAAAAGCAAGTAAAAGAAAACAAGAAAAAAAGAAAAGGCATCAACGTTATTAGCTGGAAGAAAGGCGAGAGAGACCGATCCAAAAGCCGAAGAACATATGTAAACCTTTTGTTAAAATGATATTTTATTTACAGCCGTTTTCTATGTCGACACCTGCCCTATGAGCCTCTCTTTTCACAGCACGTAAGCTCTTCCCGATCTGACCGCAGCGTTTTCTTTATCATTTCAGTCATATTCAAGCATCCATTTGTCCATTTTTTACAGAAATTTCATCCCACCGCTCCAAATGATGCATAATTCTCTCAATAAATCAAAAAATCAACAACAAGAAGAAGGAAAACGAATTTTCCCGAGTTTTGAAAGAGAAGTTTGTTGCATGAATCGCGGAAAGAAGTGCGGCGTTTAAAGGGGATACAATGAAATTTAGGGTTTTACAGAGATGGAAAAGAGAGATTACCTAAGAAGCTGATCAGTCCAAACAATCGCAATAGGGAAATTGCTGGAAGCCAAAATCATGGATGGATTGCTCAGTCTTGACAAAGAAGCTAAATGTCATTTTGCATCGAGTGAAAGAAACAACGACTTTCCATTCGTATATGAAAGAAAAGCTTACCATAAAAAGATGAACAATCAGTGTGAAGCACAGCGAAGCTCTTAATCATCAGCCATGGCGGGATTAGTGAGAGTGTAGCTGTGATTTTTAATGGACCAAATCATATGATGCCTATGATCAAAAGTTCTTCTTTTCTGGCGGGCAAGGACCCAATCCCATGATAAATTGAAGAAAAAAAA